TATGTGAGCCTCTAATTACTCTTCAACTATTGAGCATGTACTGCAAGCATGGTTTACACAATTTTATAAAAGGAGAAAAAATAAGGTCATAGACAGTGTGCCTGCTGTTACCATCCTGGCAGGTGCAGTCAGTATAAAGGAGTTCTTCATAAATAATCTCATTCTACTGCAGGAAGTACATATTTTTGTTGGTTTAATTGAAGAATTAAGTAAGAAAGGAAGTGAACAAATTTTATTCAAGTAATTGAAATATATGCCTTCATGTTTTATTCTTAAACATATATATAATGGTAATATTAAAATATAATGATTATGTGTGATGCTTGTGGAACATCTGTTGGGCACAGATACTTGGAAATACTCTTTATTTCCATTACATCTTTTAGTTTTAACAATAATCCCGGGCAATGTGCATTAGTATTATCCCCTTTGTGGAAATGAAGATGAATGAGATCTAACTTATTCTTCTAATCAATTATATTTACTGGAAGATACACCAAGACCAAAATGCAGCTCTTTTTAAAGTTAATAGTGTGAAGAACCCTGCATTACCAGAACATTTTCCTATCTCTTTAGATTATGCTTATTCATACATTGAACCTTTACACCCTGGTTATTAATGACACTTAAACATCCTTCTTAATATTGTACCCTCAATAGCTGGCATAATAATTGATATTCCTACAGTGTATTGACTGACCAATAGAGCTGTGATGACATGAATATTGATATTCAAGAGTGTTGAGTCTTGTTGAACATATCTTTGAATGATGAAAGCACGTGTGTCATACTGTTCATCACACAAACACCACTATGTGAAGTGTAAAATGGAACTTGCATTTGGGGTTGGATGAATGGGTGTGTGAGTGCAGGAGTACTATAAGGGCAAGGAAAGAAACAGAGAATCAAAATGAGTAACAGAAAAGGAAGAAAAGAAGAGGGACATATATTCTGAGAAAAAAAATTGCCTTCATGATTTCATATAGCCTTATGCAAGTGTTAGACCATTAATTTCTACCACAGATGAACTTTTCAGGAACAATGCTTCCAGACAGCCCTCCATTTTCATCAGTATGGCCTATAACTGCTGTGAATGTTCTCTTTTTGTTAATCAGTTATCATTTATATTTGATTTTATATATAAGTCCATGAAATCACACACACATACATATATGTGTGTGTGTGTACATACACATATATGTACAAAATTGTAAGCGATATACTTAATATTTACCTAGAAGGAGATTGCTGTAGTGTGTACTTTAATTATGCAACTTATTTTATTATGCTATATTTTGCTTTAAATAAATTAAATATTGATTTTTTGAGACAGTATTACTCTGTGTAGCTTTGGCTGTCCTGGAACTTTCTATGGAGACCAGACTGTTTTTATATATAATTATGTTTATGTTTGTGAGCCTAGCCTTTAATTGCTGAACCATCTCTCCAGCCCAAGTTTATTATTGTTATTCCGTTGAGATATGTGTAAGATTAATTTTCAAGTTAAGTGATAAAATGATTTATTCTTTCTTTGTAACTGCAATATGTAGCCTGCCAATAAAAGAAATGATATTGGTCCATCCTTCTCCTGACGTTGATATTCAGTCCCTCCTTCAGACTCTGTATTTACAGAGAAATGCATGCTGCCATGTGTTTTTAAAGACAGTGATTTTTTAAAAGGCAGTACAATTGCTTCTGGGAGGTATGTGACAAGGTTAGGAATGTGTAAAACCAATAGGCAAGCGGTCCCTTGATAAGCAGCACAGAACTTTTGAAAAAATATATTATTGTCACTCCTAAAATGATCAGAAATTTGAATAAGACTGTGGAATTTTGTTTCCTTTACTACTGAATTTTTTTTAAGATTTTGAGATTGTTAGATGTACAGTTAATTTAAAAAGAAAGAATAAGGGAACGAAAAAGGGAAATTCAACTCTCTCTGTATTTAATAAGGCAATAATTGAAAACATTTAACTTTCCATATACTAATTCTAGTCATATTAGTTTTATACTACTGGTCATTTTTAGAGTTAGAAAACAATGATCCAAAAATTATTTATTTTTTGGTAATATAATCATTCTTCAACTATCTTATTCATGATCATTGTTTAGTGAAATGAAACAACCTCTTTAACAGAACCAAAAAAATGAAATCATGCAACTCTCTTTCCTAGTTTAATATACATGGTTTCTCTGTATTGCCCTTGTCTTAGAACTTGCTCTGTAGGCCTTGAAGTCAGAGATCTGCCTACTTTTGCTTCCAACTGCTGGGATTAAAGACATGTACCACTACTGCCTGGGAGACATATTTTTTTATTTGGCAAGATACCTCCATACTTAATTGGGAACCTTACATAAAAAGGTTATCAAATAAATATTCATTAACATAAGAGCAAATCTGGCATTTCTTTTATGTTGTGATGATATTATTATGAATGCTATGTAGGTTTTCCCAGGAAGTTCCATCCACAGCCTAAGATCTTCAAATTTATTTAATTCATATGAAAAATGTGATCTAAGATAACGTAAGTACATGTTGAAAAATGCTTTGTATATTGATTATACAGGAAAAGCAAAAATCCAAATTAAGATTTAATTTAAATGAGATACATTTCTAGGGTCTATATGTCAGATATGAAATGTGTAAAATCTATTTTTATATGAACTCTGGGATATCTTTCTTCCCTCACTATTATTCTTTATAATAAGCTCTAAAACATTGCATAGTTGGGATTACTGTCTTTTGTAGAAAGTATCATTGGATTGGCTTTTGTGTTAACAACTATGTATGTTACTTATATTTAATAAGAGTAGGTAGTCCATTAGTATAGAATAGACTTTAGATACATTTTATTGGATGATACTGATCATATTGACTGAATTAACTTCATATCATGTAGGTTTATCGCTTTCTGAATTGTCTTATAAACCAACTATCTGTTTTCATTTATTTAACATCAATTGTATATCACAAAATAGCACTTATTAGCACTAGACATGTATGCTATTATTCCCCTCTTATAGTAGCTTGTGAAACCACACCCATATCTTCAAAAATTTAGAACAATCTCTAAGGTTATATAATTTCTTTTTAAAAAGTAGATTGAATTCAACTTCATTTTTTTTGGTTGTTTTTGAGACAGGGTTTATGTGTAACAGCTCTCACTTCACTGGAACTCACTCTGTAGAACAGGCTGACTTCAAACTAACAGAGACTGCCTGCATCTGCCTCCTGAGTGTTGGGTTTACAGCAAGCACTACCATCACTAAGCTCAACTTCTTTTTCAATTAAGACAATAAATTTACATATCATTGCCTGTGTACTTCAGTAGCTGAGACCTTTCCCAACTCCAAACAGGGTCAAAAACCTTACTGGTAGATTTGACTTGGAAGATCACACTGTTTTGACAGGTTATAGACACTTATAGTCTAGTATAAAATTCTACACAGTGCTTTAGTAGTGAAATGATAACAGACAAGAGACAAAGAGAAATTGTGCCATGTAACCAAGCATGGATGTCGTAGAGAGCTCAGGTTTCCACTGATGTCTCTCCTTGGTGGGGTTCTATAGAGGAGATGGCAGAAAGTAAGAAAAAGTAAGGCACACACGTGATATCTGTGTATTCACTGTACAGCCACCATTGGCTATGTGCTTCATTAATGGGACAAAAGGTGGTTTATACAGAGTTCAGGGTTAGAATTTACAGATTATCTGGTGCTGAAGTTGGAGTTGTTCAGAAGCCAGAAGAAATACTGGATCAAAAGAATCTCATATTCATAGTGTTCTAAGGGGATACTGGCCCCATCACTCCTGCCAGAAAAACTGAATCACTGCATTAGATCATCTGTCATTTCATCTCTGAGCCTGTATGACTCTAAATACTATTTTTTCTTCCCCTCATCATCACCAATGCCAAATTTATTTAACAAGATAGAAGTGCAGCAACATCATTACAGGGTCAGCCCTGAAGCATCCTAGGATCATGTCAGTGGGTGTGTAATTATGATGGTTGGGTTAATGACTGGGAATAACAGATGTCTTGAAGCACTGTCACCCAGATGAATTTCTGGCAAACGGGTCTGATTTCTCAGACAAGAGGAAATGTCTTCTCATGTGGTCTCATGATGCTATTTTAAGATATAACTTAAGAGAAAGGTGAATAAGCTCTAATGTTAGAAAGAATAGATGTGAATTTTGATTCTAATATTAACTAGTTGGTTCACCATGAACAAGTACTTAACCTCGATGGTATCTCAATTTCTTGTCTTGTCAAGTGGACATAATTTACTAGTCAATGTGTGGTACTATAAAAATAATGGGACAATAAAAGGAATCAGTGTTTGGTATCTAGGTACAACAGAATAAATAGTATTGGCAATTATCATCTCACTTAGCTGAGGTTTTCCCTAAGCATGAACAAAACTCATTCTCTAACATGTTTGTGCTTTGAGATTTTAGGATAAATATAATACAACTTTGGAGGTCATGGGTTTTGACATTTGTTCTATATTAAAAGAATTTTATGAGCTAGGGAACTGACCACAAATAATCACCAAATTATTAAAAGAAAATATACCCATGATTATTTTTTCTCCTGTGAATTTCCACATCCATTCAAAAGAATTTTTAAATAACCAAATTATGTTAAATTATTTGAAATATATACTGACCATATATGAATACTTTGTGTATATTATACATGATGCTTTGTTGCAATCATTTTAATTTGAAGTTTATTCAAACTAAATTAAGTATTAAATAGTTTCATCATGGGATTATCCCTCAGGGTTAGTTGAAACAAATGTGGCCAAATTCTGAACCAGCCACTGTCCTTTCTACTCCCAGGTTTCTTAGCACTTGTGTTTCAGTATGTTATAGAGAAGGTGAAAAAAGCATTTGCTGGATGATTCAGGAGATTTGAGTTTTAAACATACTTGTTTCTCTGAAAACCCTTTTGAGACTGACTCTCCTAACCCTGGTCCCTTTGGATACTTTGTAGGCAAATGCGAATGTGGCAGATGCACTTGTTACCCTCCAGGGGACAGCAGGGTATATGGCAAGAACTGTGAGTGTGATGACCGGCGCTGTGAAGACCTGGAGGGCGTGGTCTGCGGAGGTGGTAACCAGTCTGTCAGCCTTTTATCCTCTGAATGCGAGTTCTTTTGCCTGCCTTTTTTCATTGTTTGTACCATTTAAAATTGCTGTTCAAAAGAAGTTAAGAAATATACTATTACACCTTAAAGCATCATAGTTGTATTGCTACTTTTATAAGCAAGAACTCTTGACTTGGGTTATGTGAAAAGACTGTCTAATCTAAATCGATTTCTAAGTTCTATGCTAGTTAGTGGCAAATAGAAGGTGTTCGTGCAAGCTGACATTTGATCACTGAGAAACACTGATGGAAGAAAGCAATGTCTCCCAGAAACTTAGGGGAAGAAACTGTAAGGTTATAAGTTCAAGTTGAACTACAGAATTATAAGAGATAGAAATTCAGTTTTTTTGCTTTGTTTTTTGGTTCCCAAAAGTCCCCCTCTCCCATACTGAAAAATCATTAATTATCCAGGTAAAGAATAAAGCAAGTAACGGTAGTCTGGAAAGCAATTTCCAAGAGATAGAATGTTGACATTAGCATCATTGAAGTGAGGGACTATGTGTCTGAATTATTCTAGTTCTGTCTGCCTCGAAATACTTTATAGTAACAAGACTGATGTTGCTTGTACCATTTGACCATCATCTGCTAGCTCTCTTCTCAATCAATCTGTCTACCATTCTAAGTTCATATCTACCTTCCTGTGTACCTTGCTCTGTAGTATATATACTCTGTGTCACTTACAATTTGAACAATGGGGAATTTTCTTTGAAGTAACCACTGTTTCTGCTAGTTTTTTGTGCTGTAATCGCAGAAGTTCCCCTCAAAAGGAATTTCTGCTTTCTTCTTTTTTAATGGTGGGAAATGGAGGGCACTTGATGGTTGGTACCCATTAACTCACAAGTGAGTGACCAGGAGTTCTGAGCCTCCACAGTCAGTTCACAGATCTTTCCTTACACTGTGGAGCTCTCACAGTGGCATCTAATTGTTTCCATATTGTAATATTGATTTTAGGTTAGATTAATATTAGTTTGTTAATATTACTTGTAGGTTGCCAGCATTATCTAAGGAGATTATTGTTATTGTGTTACCATTTAATATATGAAGCTTAGCAGGTGTCTGGAAAGTCCCATATGTACCTCTCTATTTGTATTCCCTTAGTGTTGTTGCTCAATTAGGGACAGTGCCTGCAGGAGGGATCTTTTCATAAGATCCCTCCTGGTTCTGTTTGTTGTTCTTTCCTCTCTGGCATTCAATGTTTACCTAACATGAGCCTCTTTGCCCAGCATAATTTAGTGACTTATTTGAAATGTTTAGTTTGGTAGAAACCTATTAAATCTCTATGTACATTAAATTGTGTGCCTCTCCTCCATGAACATCTTTATCAAAATTAAAATAGGCTACCTGTCACATGAGACATCACATGGATGGGTTTTGCTTAAAAACTTCTCAGGATTATACCTGAACACCTTTCTGTGTTGTCTGTCTACACAAAGCTGACTATCCCTGAAAGAATGGACTTCCATGACCCAAATGAGTAAAATGTCCGTATGTAAACCAGAACAGCAATCCTTTCATGTTCTGGCAGAAATGGAGTTGGCCCAGAGCTTAGAACTTTTTGAAAAAGACCTGTAGGTACCATGTTGTGAGACATAGATTGGCCTGTTGTTTGTTGGAAAAGGTAATGAGAACTGGAGGGTTTATCAGGAAAGGAAAGGCATTTATTAAAAAAACAACAAAACTGTGTGATTAGAATTTATGTATACAGGATAACGCATAAGGATTCATGGGTGCACTGAGCGCATTCTGGTACCCACAGCTACCAGAAGAGGGAGGGTATCAGATTACTTGGGACCAGAGTTGCAAGTGGTTATGAGCTTGACATGGGTTGTGTGATCTAGGTCCTCTGCAAGATCAGTGAGTGCTTTTAACTGTTGAGCTATCCTTCTAGCCACATTTTCTTGAAACTTGAATTCATTCTTAGTTGATTTTGAACCTGTTCTTGGAAAAGCTTTGTTAGGAACTCTATACTCAGTTGTTATTTAAAATAAAAAAAGCATTTTGCCTATATTTGCTATACATTGTCTTAGATACTGCTTTTTTTTTTAAAAAAAAAAAGAAATATTTATTTATCATGCATACAAATCCTGCCTCCATGTATGCCTACACTTTAGAAGAAGGCACCAGATCTCATAGATGGTTGTAAGCTAGCATGTAGTTGCTGGGAATTGAAGAGCAGCCAGTGTTCTTAACCTCTGAGGCATCTCTCCGGCCCAGTACTATTTTATTTTTAATGGAAAAAAAGGGGTAATTTTATTGTTTCCATTCATATTTAAATCAATATGCAAAGTAACAAAATACCTTAAAGCATTTTCATATATAACCCATCTGGGTCTCTTCTGCTCCTCCTCACACTCTCTGTATTCTTAGCTCCTCCTTTTTCCTACTTCACATGTGTCATTTTATTATTCTCAAACTATCCCCTAAGTATCACCTCCCCACTCCTGTGGATGCCTTTCTAGTCGTTTCTGAGCCTATACCCACACTCACACTCACAAAAATACACTTATATAAAAGTTACAAGCTAACAACATAAAGGAGAAAATAAAGCACAGAATTTATCTTTCTGATCCTGGGTTACCTCACTTTAAAACGTATTCACTTCCATCTGTTGCCTGCAGATCTCATGATTAATTTTTTCTAACAAATAATAGATATGAAAAATTATTTCCTTTGAAACACTTAAGTAAAGAACACATCAAAAGCCAAAATGGAATTCATTGATAAAAATGTCATTGGAAGTGATATCTCATAATGTTTTATTATATTTTTCAGGTTTCTTTTGAAAGGGGGAACATTTTTCAAATCTCCATCCATTAGCCCCATTGAAATATTTTGGTAATATGGTTAGTGAAAGTCCATCTTCTCCAGTATGTTAAACTGCATTGACTTACAGCTGGTACCTCTCACATCAATTAACATTCAAGACAACCCCCACAAACATGTATATGGACAGTCTGATCTAGACAGTTTTTTAATTGAGACTCCTTTCTCAGGTGACTGTACACTATATCAAGCTGAGAATTAAAGTTAACTAGGAAGTTAGTGCCCCTCATGTTACAGCCAGCAATAGGCACACTGATATTAAGTATGAAACATGTGGACACTATTCTAGCTTAGGCTCATAGAATAAATTGAAATTGTTGAGTTTGGACCATTAACTCAGTTTTACCACCAGTCTGATACATGAGTTCACCTTGACATTTAGTCTAGAACTCTGCTTGTTCAGGGTTTGGTCAGAGAACAAAATACAGCTTCTAACTCAAAAGCAGGGACTGTGAGAATGTTAGCCATCAAATATGTAAATCCCTAACATTCACATCTTTCTAACCAACAAGCACATGAAAATCAAGAACCAACATTGTGAATGTACCTTTCCAACAATAAAACTGAAGATGATTAAACCCACTCTGGCAGGTTAAGATAATTTATCAATTGTAGTCAAAGGTGAATGTAACTAATTTCATAATTTTCAACAGTTCAGCTTTGATTAAACTAAAATTGAAGCCTAAAAAAGAGTCATAATAATGACAAAAAGAAAATCAGTGCAAGATAGGACCTTTCTTCATTTAATTAGCTTGCCTGAGTCATTCCATCATCATACAGGGTGTGTAGATTTTCTCTAAACATTTTTTAGCAAATAAAATGAATATAACTGATAGTTGGCATGGATTTTCTTCTCAAATAAGTCACTCTTTAAAAGATTCTTTGTCTGACTGATAGTTCCTAAGATTTGTTCTTTTTCAGCAATGCATAATTTTCAGATTTCATAAAGAGAATACAATCATATTCTGGTTCAGATGTGTTTAATTATTTTTGTGAGTATAAGCTTAATCAGGGGCTTCCCTCCTACATGCCCTATACCAAGGGTGAGAATGAGAAATGGACTGCTTATTGGTTTTGTTTTATCACCCCTTGCTCCTAGAATAGCTACCCAGGGGTCCAATTTAAGAAGCAAGAAAGGATAATGAAGAGCCACTGCTTAATTACACAATCAGTTCCCATTTCTTCTGGGACTTCTCCAGCTCATGGCTGCAATTTGAAGGAAATCATACAGTCTGCAATTACAGATTCAGCAATGCCAGGAACTGCTGGGTTCTTATTCTGTGAAAGAGAAAGGCTTCCTAAGATGAACATTATAACATTTAGGGTACTGTCACCAGTGACATCTCAAAATCACATATCAGCGGGGATGTGCCTAGACAAAGATGCTGACCCTAAACTCTCATGTCCTAACCCTTTTCTGTCTTTGCTTGTGCTCTGTCTTGTTCTCAATGCATGAGTATTATTCTTATTCTCATAGACAGCCTTTAATGTGCCCATCTGCCAGGGAAAAAAGAAGAAAAGAAGGTTATCTGAATATTTTTAGGCATAGGACAAATATTCAATAGCTGCATATGTCAGTTGGCATTGTAAATAATGCCGATACAGGAAAGTTATGCCAGCTGTGTAAGATCTGTTGAATGAGTATACTAGAAAAATGTCAGAAATCAAAGAGTTTTTTATACTCATTTCCCTGTATACTTGACCATTAGCACCCATCCACATTCTCCAAACTCACATGACCTGACACACCCAACCCCACTCAATTACTTAAGTGAAGTTGTTAATTATGCCACGTCATCTGGCCTAATGTCTTCTCATTTTCTCATTCCTCTCAGCACAGATTAAATTCTTTACAAAAATAAATAACTTGCTGTGAATTTCATTCCCATTTGATTAATCATTTAGTCATTTTTCTTCAAACAGTTGGCTTTCACTGCCTGAAACATGCCCAGTTCTTTCTTGTCCCAAGGATTTCTAGGCTCTGTTCCTAGAACATTGGCTGCCTGGCTCCTTCTCATGCCTGGTTTTACTACATACATCTCTGAGCACCCTTGTTTGTCCCGTTCTCACTGTTGAATATAGTAATAGACTCCTTACGTTCTGATAATTCAAGCTACATTTTGCTGTGACTTGAGTTTATTTCTAGTAGACTGTAAATGCCATGAAAATAGAGTCAATATTCTTTATTCTACTATAGTCAAACTTGAAGTATAATATCCAGTACAGGCATTTCTTGAATTGATGACTGAATTATAGCCACATGAAGAATATGCTTTCAAAATTGATTAATATTTTAACTAAATGACAAATCAAAATTTAAATGCCAATGCATTTTTATGATTGTCTGGTGTAGTTGCCAATTTTACTTTGTAAAAAGATGTGATAAAAAGCTAATAAATATCTAATATGGTCCTTTTCCTTCCATACAAGTTTCATATTATATTTTTCTCTGTGAGGAGCCATTGACCTTTTCTCAGTGATACCTTAATTAATAGCAGAGTGCCTACTTTAGCAGTAGAGATTTCCGTGCAAAGTAAGAAACAAAATTGTGTATAAGTTTCAAAGGGAGAATTGAAATGTATCCCAAGGTAGAGTAAAATGCTGAAAAGTATGTACAGGCCTTGGATTTGAACTCAAGGCACACACGTGCGTACACACACACACAGAGACACACAGACACACACACACACACACACACATACACACACAACAAGTGTTATACTTGTAGATATCAGAGAATTCCTTATAGAAGTGTATCCAGTAATTTGCTGAGATTTGTAGATTAGGTAGGGCCTGAATATATTGAGAGAGGAAGGCATTCTTAATCTAGCACATGTGAGAAATGCATAGGAAACTTGGTTGGGTCAGTGGGGTTGAAGGGAGGATAGACACAGTAAGATTAGAAAAGCAGCTTAGAGCTCTGAGTTTTAGAAATATAAAGCATACCAAGGACCTCCTGGTTGAACAATAGGTATTCTCACAGTGTTAATAGTAAAGCTGTGATATGAGAAGTACAGAATAGGGCATTGTGAGCATGTGAAACTTGTTAAGAGGTATTTCAAAAGTTTATGATGTTATGTTGTAAGAACTAACAGGGCTTGACAATACCCCTTATGGAGGGAATTAACGATATTCAATCATTATTCAAAACATTTTGAACTGAGTGAGTAAGAAAGTTGTGCATTTAAAAGAAATAGAAAATGGAGTGTACTAAGCCTACAGATAACGACATGGATACTTCTTATTAATCATGAAAATTTGGCCTTAGCTTTAGGCTTTTTTCTAACTCGTTTTTATAACTTAATTAACCCATATTTTAATCTATGTTCTGCAGCGTGGTTTAGTTACCTCTCTTCAGTATGGCATGTCTGACATGCTCTGTATCTGATGATATATCCAACTTTCTTCTCCCCAGGTTCTCTGTGTCCCTGGAAGTCCCGCCCAACCTCTTCCTGCCTAGCAATTAGCCATTCAGTGCAATCAAATTTCCTGCAACATTTTCTCCTTTTTGTCTGAATTAATAGGAACTCAAACACAGTAGAACTTTCTATAATAAGAACAATTATCAATTAATTCATAATGCCCTGTTCATCTACTTTTGGCAAATAGCTGAACTACAAGATTTGAAGGGCAACTTGAACTGTAATAGTACATCGCTCTGAGGTTCAGCTTCCTCTTTGTAAGATGGGAACAACATCTGACATCACAGGGTTAGATGACAGAGCATTCAATGCATGAGGAAAGGCTTCTTGGAATAGATGACTTTGTTCAGATTTATTTTAAATTGGTCTCTCATCTTCTTTCTGTTAACTTTCTGTTAACTTATGGAAAATCACTACCTGGATTCATGGGTGGTCATGTTAATTACTCATAATAACAAATACTCATCAAAAGAGTCTTGTCCATTAACCTTTCCATTTCCAGAAATGAGTCTCAAAGAACACATGGTTAAGAAAGCATGGTGGCCACAGTAGCAGAAGCACTGATCAGTATAGATGACAATGATGTATATTCTATGAACACAGCAGGATCATTGTATCCATCTTCCTTCATTTCCTATGCTCTGGTTCCTAGCAACATATTCTGTTCATGACTGACACTTGAGAAATCCTTTCTAGGCAAATAACTGAGTCAGAGAGAGATCTGGCTGTATGAAAGTGTGACTATTGGGAAAGAATCAAAGCATTAGGTAGAAATACAAATTGGAAAATACAGAAGTCTAATGGATGGCTGTTTGCACAAAGGTGAGAAGGAGTATATACCCCTGTATAACTGTCACAAACACAGTGCTTCTTATTAAAGGATAAACATCTCAAAAACCAGGAATAGAGACAAAAGGTCAAATGTGAACTCAAGCCTCGTGAAAATTTTAAATGTTAAACATCAATAAAAGGCACAGGTATTTATGGTCTATCTGTTCTTGTTCATGAAGACTAATGTAAAAAAAAGTCAAGATCATTAGGAATACCTCCTGTTTTTATTAATAAGCTATGGGAGAGCAATTAATAAATGTTGGAAGCAGTGACAACGTGACTAGCCTTCAAAAGTGAACTGGGTGTCATGGTTTGCACAATGAAGAATGGCACCAACATAACCTGCTGATGGAAATGCAAATGAGAAAGGACCAATATCCAGAAATGACTCATAATTCCATTTTATATAATTTCAAGATTTCTTGCTCGAAATCTTATCTCCTATACCACATCCAAATATGTCATGTTAAGCTATCTCTCTGTGGGGGACACTGTTTTAAAACAACGGTGTGTCAGAATGTCTGTGTGTGAGGAAAGCATGTCTGATGAGAGATGAGACCCTATATTTCATACTATCTTATAAATTGATTTTTCTAGCTATTTCATCACATCTTTCCATTATCTTTGTCCTATGACTGTTTCACAGGCCATGGCACATGCTCCTGTGGTCGTTGTGTTTGTGAAAAAGGATGGTTTGGCAAGCTCTGCCAACACCCACGGAAGTGTAACATGACAGAAGAAGAAAGCAAGACTTTGTGTGAGTCAGCAGATGGCACATTGTGCTCAGGAAAAGGTGAGTATCACTGCTGGTCCTGGATCCCTGCTCAGAGATATGTCCATTAGAGCAACAGGTAGCATCCAGTCGATAGAGAATGAAGTTTGCCTGAGAAAAGCCATTCAGCTTGTGTGAACCCTGAGACCCGAGCATCAGCAACAGGCGGTGTGGAAACTAAGATGCTATGCTTCTTTTTGTCTGTGCAAAAGATGGAAAACTTGCTAAGTTTTCACAAATGCTTTACCAAAAAAAAAGGACTTCATTTGTATGCAGACACAGGTGTGACTTTTTTATATTTATGTTTAGAACTTTATCTTAAAAACTCTTTTGCTGAGTCATGTCCAGTTACAAATTCCATAAGGATATAGGAAGCTATACTCACTCAATGCAGTGAGTTATAGTGCATTTATTCCCTAACCTGACTTTTATGCAAAAGTATTCCCTAAAATATATACACATCCATATTGAATCCTCATTAGAGTTTCAGAATTTTCAGCTAGGTAGGCAATTTGCATATAGAAAACACACAAAAAAAATGTTGAGGGAGGCTATAGAAAGGGCTCCTCAGTTAAGAGCACTTGCTAATACCCACATTGATGGCCTGTAACACTCAATCCAGGGCATCAGATACCCTCTTCTGAGTTGCATAACATTGAATCTACACATACATATTTCTTCAATGAAATAAATCTTTTTTTAAGAAGAAAAAATTGCAAAATTTGATTAAATATTGACCTAACGGTATTTCCTCACAACAGAACCAAACACAAATCTCTACTAATGCATTACCAGTTATTTGCTTCATATTGTAGGAGAATAATCAGAGGTCATTGACAGTTGAGAGCCTAGAAGTCTATGAACTTAATCCTTCAGTGGATAGGATACTTGATCATAGCTAAATTCAAAGAGGAGTATAATATCTTCCCAAGGCTTTCCACTTTGAATTTCATCGTTCACATTAATGATGGGCAGCAAGTGGTTGAAATTCTTTTTCTCTTTCTTTCTGGAGGCATCATGGTGGGCATAGACGAAAGGGGCTGAGACTGAGCTCTTGCAACTGTAGTTTGTCTTTGTTACAGAGGATAATGAGGATGTTATCCCTAGTCTCTATGGGTATGGGACCAAGAACCTAAGTAAAAGTACAGCATGAGAGAGACTGAGGGATTTTAACATGATGAATGAGAAAGGAAAGTTTCTCACACCCTTTCACTCTGTATCTGATCAGCTTCATTAACTTGTATGATTTTCTAAAATGTATGTAGGAAAACTCTCATTCTGGTGGTCTCAAAGTATATAGAACCTTTTTATTCCTCATTTTGGACAGTTGTGAGCCAGGGACTGTGAGTGCATGCCATGATACTTTGTAACTCACCACCCCCCCCAAAAAAACAAAACAAAACAAAACAAACAAAAAACGACAAGCTTGAACTATACATTTGCTTGGTACCTGTGAATAAAGCCTTCACTTCAGGAGACGATGAAGAAATAGCATTTTATTTCTTACAAATTTATAGCCAAGACAATAAATCACTCCATAGAAAAATTTAAAACAAGATACATTGTTGTGACCTTCATAACAGATGGTGTCATTAGTACAATAGTGAAAACTGCCTGCTGGGGTGTCAGGTTGCAGCATTTTGTCAGGCTTGATGTATGAAAAGGAAAGTCAGTAATGGAATGGGGCCTTGCCCCGAGACTGAAACTGTTTTTGTAAATGACCAAGAGAGATGTGCTCAGTGGCCATGTTGCCCCTAAGTTTAGCTACCTTTACAGAATAAATGGTGAAATTTATAGGGCTTTATTTTTATTGTTTGTTTAAGGATTTATTTATTAATTTGGCTCCATGGTGGCACAATAATATATTTGTCTTAATAACATTACCTTAGATCGAAGTAATCACTACAATAGTCAGCTATACCTTTATGGGATAAGTCTTTAAATGTATCCTCAAACTGTCACAGTGATACTGCTGCATTCACATCACTAGTAAGTCTAGGGTACCCTCATTCATTCATCCGTTTCTCAGCTACCCCTGTTACATATCCTCAGAGAAGAGAACGGGGAGAAGTTACACTTTCAAAACTAAGCTTATCCTTGCCCTAGTTGCCACACCCAGTATGATCGCAAGAACTGCTCGTTTATGAAACTGTATGAATGCTTTTGTCGTGTCAGTCATCACAGATAGATGACTAGATGGTAGATCGAATCAGATTGAAATGTTTTGTTTTTGGAATGTTGTCTGAGGCAATTCCTCCATCCATTCTGCTATTCTATTCTCATTTTCAAAGGAAGTACGTTTCTTTCTCCTCCTTAGGTCTTTGGAATGTTCTACAGATAGATGGAAAAATTTCCCAATAATGGAAGCCAGCAAAAAGCACAAAGGAAAATGGGGACATTGTTAAGAGTTCTCTTGGAGAATGAAAACAAATGAGTTAGTAATGTTGTGGTTGCAGGTTTGTCACCCTATGGTTCCCTACAGGATGCGCCAGCTGTAGCCCATAGCTTGGCTGGGCCTTAATGGGAATGGGTCCCAGCCTGCTGAGTTGCACAGTTGCTTGCTTTGAGGTGTTCAGTAAGCTTAGACTTGTTAGACAGAATCTTCTCATTTCTTCCCCTTTCTAGATATGAATAATCCACCCCTGCTAATGGTTGTTTATGAGAACAGCCAGAGCTCTCTACAATAAAGGTCTATAATAGGTCCTAATGACTATATACACTGTGTTAATACTGCATGCTATGCTGTTCCTGTTTATGCAGGGAGTAGAAGGACTTCCTACTTATCATTAGCAAACAGAGAAAAAACACATCTGGGATTATGGAAAGCAAAGATTGCTTCCATAGCATACACAAAATCAAATCCCAATTTTATTCTAATATTTTGTGACATCTACAACATTTGGAGCTATAATTTACTTGTCAAATATTCAGTCTACATATACCACGTTGACTTTAGCTGTGCGTGCTCATTTCAGGAAAATACTTTGCTATTCTTTGCAGCTAAGCATTCCAGAAACAAAAGAAGTAATAAGAATCATTTCCAGGCAAGAGATTGAAGATGAAGTGTAAACTCTTTTTAGGAATTATGGTACACATGAAAAGGCATCCTAGGTGTGATTATATTAATATCATATGTATACAAAATCATTTCTTTCTATTGTGGGAATAACTTCATGATGTAAGAGATTCTATATAAGAAACAAAAACACTTATTTTCTCAAATAGTTAATCCTTCTCTTATGGAAATTAGCTACTAAAAATAACCGTCCTTTGGGTGACATCTTTGTGATAGACAGTAGAGTGCCTACGTAACTATTTTATTAGCCATCTGTTAAATAAACGATTGATTGTCCAAAATTCCCATGTCTAGAAATTTTAAAGAAAATATGTAAATTTAGGAAAAAGTTAATTCTAAAATGAGGATACACTTAGCCTAGGTAAGAATTCAAGGGTCCCTTATGTCTTTCCCACTAGACCAGCAGATAAGATTCTAGGCAATCACTCCACAAAAAATGGAAGACCTCCACACATGTCTGCAAGTCAACCAAAACTCTTAGAAAAACAGGTCAAGACTAAGTGACACTGGGCTGCACTTAAAAAACAAGTAAAAATAAATATAAATGCAATTCTCACTTAATAACAGGTTCTTAGACTCAATTGCCTTGAGATGTATGACAAGGAAAGACCAAAATGAAATTTGGTTGTAGGAGATTGTTTCAACTAACATGAATATACCTTTTTCATGTCATGAATTCACCTAGCACTTAATGACTAGGACACATTAATTTGCATTCTTTCATGATATGCATGACAATGTCATGCCAGTCTATTTCCCCAAACCCAAGTTTTCCTCTCTCTGTGTCCCTAGGTTGTTATTTGCCAGTCACTCTATTTCAAAAGTACTCAGAACATCTCCGAGTCTCCTCTGTGTATTTACAGCTTAATGAGTTTGGAGTTTTGTTAACCACATTGGAAACTTTTATTGTTTCACATTTTCTCAAGGTGATTGGTGACTTGAGTGACTTTGCAATAAATATCGGTATACTTTAGTAAAAGGAAATTGTGTCCAGAAAGAAAAGTCAAACAAGGAAATGGAAAACTCCTTTTGAATTCTGCAGTTTTACTTCTAACTGTAGCAAAAGCACTTCTTCTGCATGATTTTCAAGCCTGTCTCGACATTTCCACCAAGAGAATTTTCTTCTTTGAAATATCATAAAACTTTTTACTTTAAATATGCCATTAATTCCAAGTTACCCAAAATGTTTTAATAACTACGGTTTTTGTTGTTTGTTTGTTTTCTTTTTAAAATGAGATGAAAGGTAACTAGAAAGGAAGTTGATAAGGGGTAGGAAAATTGACTGGACCCCATTTTGGGCTCATTAGTACTCCTCCTGATTATAGATAAAATCCTGAAGGACAGGTCTGAGACATCAACCGGGCATGAGGGATTGTGTTTGCATTTTTAGCTCTTTGCCTTGCCACTCAGTATTTTAAAAAAAATCATGTAAACAAAATTCTACCATGATGAGCTCAATAATTTAGTAGTTATTTAATTATAAAATGAATCTTCACTTAATATAATTTGTTATTGGATTCCTTTAGATAATAGGGCCTTTAAAATGTAATTCAATTTAAAAGAAAAGAAACTAAAACATCTATTTTGAATACCTTTTGGGGAAATCATCTCTAAGGATGAGCCACATCCTGTTCCATTGACATTTCAGCCAGACTCAACCAAGGAACAATTGCTGCAGGCTAATTGCAACTGTCTAGATCTGTAATAAAGGCTTTCCTGAATGACCTTTATGTATTTGAGTAAGTAAAGCTGTTCTCTGAGAAAGCAGCTGTTCGATAAACTTTTACCTTTAGAAGATAGGTTATTACAAGCCTATTGTCAATGTGTCAGTGATAGTCTCCTCTTGATGGAAGCCTTTATTTCTCTGGTGACAGTCAGTGACACCCACTGTGATTTCAGGTTCTTGCCATTGTGGAAAGTGCATTTGTTCTGCAGAAGAGTGGTATATTTCAGGGGAGCTTTGTGACTGTGATGACAGAGACTGTGACAAACACGACGGTCTCATTTGTACAGGTACAGTATTGAATTACATTAATTGTTTTAGGCCACAGATGACAATACAACCCAAGGGCATCTACCACATACTGTCTTAGATAGCCAGAGAATGAAGGCAGCCTCCACATACTCAAGTGAACAACGCACATGTGTAGTATTTATGAAAGTATAAGTGAGCATCTGTGAATACTCACCAACATTTTCCATAGAACATTGCAAAAATGATGAAGCTAGATTATATGATTGTTTGGAAGCTTCTACAAGCTAATCTGCCCTATTAATTTACACAAGGTAATGAATACAAATGCAGAATTCTCTTGACAACCATTTTATTTTAACATGAAACAGGAGAGGGCTATTGTTTTAATCAGCACTCAGATGCCACAATTGGTGTACTGGCTACTTTTAGGGAATTAGGGATATGTATGAATATGTGTGTGGTAGGAAAGACAGCAACAGAGTATACAAAAGATTTGACTGTGTAGTGGCTATTATAATCCTTATTAATTGAGTTATAATAATTAACTATAAAATATTGAATTAAATTAAATAATAATATATGTTCTACTGAAGATATTATCTTAATTATAAAACATATTCATACTCCATAGAATTATAGTTGATTCAATATACCATTAATAAAATTCTTTCTCAGGAACCCAAAATATTTTTGTAATCAAACATTTTAAAAGGTTAAAGATAACTATTTTCACATGACATTAAATTAGATAACCACTTTTTCTGTTCACTTTACTATCAAAGGATATTTTTTTCCAGCTCTCTGGCATGCCTAATTTCAGATCAAGGGCCTTTATGCTTTTCAGTGTTTATTTTTAAGTAGAACATGGATTTCTCTCAGGTGATTAATGACATAATAATATCATTGTATTATAAGACACTCTAGAGAGGATGAATGGAATGGTTTTCTCATGTACAGTTATGATTCACAGTCACATATTCCAATGGTGCTTTCTGATCATAACTGTAATTCCCATGTTTATTTTACTGCAGGTAATGGAATTTGTAGCTGTGGGAACTGTGAATGCTGGGATGGATGGAATGGAAATGCATGTGAAATCTGGCTTGGCACTGAATATCCTTAATGATTCCACAGGAGACAACTGGATTCTTATTTCTAGGCAACTTTAGAAATTTAGAGGAAAGCATATGTAAACAGCACCATGACTATTGTATGTTTTTTCTATTTCTGACTGTGTGAGGGAAACATGGGTCTTCACTAGAAATGACTTCAATAAGCTGATGTAAATTACACAACAAAGAATTGTCCTCCCATAATTAACACCTGTGGTTCATAATTAAGAAGAGCACTTTTGCAACCCACAAGACATTTGGCAATACCTACAGAGAATTTGGATGTCGGACTGGGTAGTGTAGGGGTGCTTGTGCTATGGGCACTTTAGATATAGTGGCCACAGACAATGCTAAACACCCTATAGAACACAATATCCAATATTTGCCAATATGTAGTAGAAAACAAAATAATAAATCACTTGGTATTTTGGACTCCACATTCCAACACCAGAAACACTGTATTATAATATAAGGATGATATTTATTCTCACATAAACCAATCATTTGGATTTTTCCAGGATTCCATATGACTCTGAATTTGCATATTGGGACAATGATAACAGACACATATGACTTGTGATGATGGGCTGAGGCTTACCAGATCAAAAGGGCTTTAAACTTACAAGAATCTCTTACAGGAAGAAATGAAAAATGTACAATTTGACATTTTAATAAATAGTGACATAAGTTGTTTATATTTTGTGTCAATATCTATTCACCCACTGAAAACAAACATAGCAGAAAAAAAAATGAATCAGAATACGCACTTTAGATCCCAAGAACTAACAGACCATGTTTTTAAGACTAGGCATCGCTTACATGTACAAGAAATCCGATTTTTTAAGTCATGTAATGTGTCCTCTGAAAAAGACGGTGTCTAGTTAGAACAACAAGGATCCTATACTGCATTCATTGCTCTAAAAAGACTCTCTTTTCTTCAATGAAATGGTAGGGTCAACAAGAATGACACATATTTCAGAAGCTCAGTAGTGGACTCCAAAATCTAGAAATAGCTTAAATCAAAATTACAAATATTCACTCAGTGATAGGAACAAAATGTTTATTTTCTTGGTGAAATTTTGTCTGTATGAAACTCACATTGAATTATGAAAATGTACAATATCTGGGGTTCCCTTGCATATATACAGTTAGATCTACTTATACACATAGTTGAAGCAACCATTATTTATAGCTAAAAAAATACCTTTTTCCTAAATGTGAATTATTTGTAAAATCCTAAAATAACATAGCAAAATCATTTCTGTATTATCTTAAGATGAAATTTTTACTTGCAAATCTGATATTAATAATGTAAATATTCTAGAGTCATGGCTTAGACTTTATCAGTCAAGTCACCAAAAGTAAAGAAAACATGCCTCCACATATTACTTAAAAAACTAAATATTGAAAAGTATTTGAAGAGTCAATTTCACTGGTGCTGGTTTTATAGTAACAATAAGGTTCTGAGAATTTAACCTATTTATAAAATTGTTGCCTCTATCCTGAGATTAGGGGACCCAGCCATATAGGTGTTATTTCTATTACTAAGCTGGCAACCAACATCAGATTTATAAAAATGAGGGAAATATACGGAGTTAAGGTAGAGTATGGATGATTGCATTCTTTTCTCTTCTCTGTATTTCCCATTCTCTATATACATTTTAATCCATAAAAGAACCAATTATAATAATTCAGCAGCAGTTCTGATTATATGTTTGGTGGTACCCAAACATTGAGATTGAGTGACCTTCCCATCATTGTATAAATGATCTTCAGATTTCCCTATTGCAGGACTCAGCCTTCTATAAAGGTGTGAACAATGTGTATTAGATAAACCATTGTAGGATTTTTCTTTAATTTTTTAATATTTAAAATTGTAATAAATAAATAAAAATCCATCCTGAGCTCTCTGACCAGACATAAACAGGGTGTGGGCTGGCTTTAATCACAGCTGTGTGTGTTAGTTTGCAGACTTTGCTCCCCTGGAATTACCTTCAGTTCCCTTTCATCAACACAGTTGCATCTTTTTAAGTTGTTATTAATTCTCTGTTTTTTTTTCTATCAGTAGCATCTACTACAAAATATGTGTTGCTCTTCTTATATTTTCAAAAGAAACAGTGTTGAAATATCCATAGCATATAAGTGTTATCAGAACAGAATTAGGACATTGGATACATGATTATTTCATGATGGTCAAAATATGATATCTTAAATTTTGGACAACATGAAAATATGTTGTAGTTGGCCATGTTCTGGAGTGCATTGTTACAGGTTATGGAAAGAAACTGTAGTATATATCCCACAGCAACTCTTTTTCTTAGAAAACAGACTTGGAAAAAAAGGTTCAGTTTATTTGCTATAGTGTGTGTGTGTGTGTGTGTGTGTGTGTGTGTGTGTGTGTAAATTCTACACACTTTTGTTTAAAAAACAAAACATGGTGACAGTCAAAGATATAATCTATTCCCTATCTAAATGTTTCTATACTTTGATTCCAAAGTAGAAACTACTTCCTTGAAAATGCTGAACAAGAACAAATTTGTAATGAGTGGGAGAAAATAAGCAAATCTCTTTGGCTTGATTGTGGCTTTTCAAAAACCACACTGGGACCCATGATAACTAAAGAGGGGGCATTAAGTTCACCAATGGTGGTGATTCTCATCATATTTGTTTAACAAACCATCAGTGAAGAATCCCTCCAGGGGAGTTATAAAAGCCAATGAAAGTCCTCAAGATAAGAGAAGAACCATTGTTTTTACTGCCTTGAAGGAATCCGAGTTTACCTGGATTCCAGCAGCACCAGGGAAGGAATGGCTTGCCTCTATCAGTTCAAATACAAACTCAACCTCACCAGTAGATATCAAAATTAGACTGAATGAGAATCAAGAACAAAGGAAAACAAAACTACAACACAGTCTTAATTTGCAAACTCAACTGTCACAACTTTGAGACCACATAGTATTCCAGATGCTCACCTAGCCTTTTGAGTCACTGTTTAAGTCAAACCCCTAACTACAACACAACTTACATTCTGGATTTGAATAAGTCTATACTTCAGAAAATAATTGGGCATTTAGCCTGATTGTCTCCCTATGACATTGTCATTTCAAAAAAAAAAAAAAAAAAAAAAAAAAAAACAAAAACAAAAAACCAAAAATGAAAATCATTTCTCTTTATTTTCAGTATCTTCTACATTGAACTGTATCCACTGTAGTCTCATGCTCCTCCTTTGAGGGATATCAAAGACCTATTATCCATGTAATAATTGGGAGAAACTTTTAACAAAGTAATACTTATTTACTTTAAGGAGAAACTTATTGTTTTAGTTTTTACTTAATGTACCAAATTTGATATGATAAAAAAAAGACGGTTTAGTAGTTTAATAGTAGTTTAATAACCAATTAAGTGGTTAAGTATGATATATTCTAATTGCTTGCCAATTAGAAAGACCAGAGTAAAAGTCATGGGACCTTTTATGGGTCTAGTCCTCACCTCCAAAGCATCCAGAACAAGCAAGTACTTAAAATAAGATTTTAAATTTTAAATGCCTTTTTACTCCCAATGCAGGGCAGACTGTTTGAGTATCTTCCATAATTTTCTCCTTGGGAAATAATAAGAAGTTTCTGGAAGTAAAACTATTTGGAAACAAAATTGTGTGACTTGAATTATGTAAAGGACTAATATTAATGAGCACTGTTGATGTATAGGCAAAGCAATCAGCTACCATAACAAGGTGGTAGAACTAACCCTCCCCTACCAGACATGCATGCAGAAGGAATGGGTCTTCTAGAGACATGGTACAATGGATATACATACAGGAAGTATAAAACACAGTCTATAAATACAAATGTGTTCCATCAGATTTGCTATACAGAACATCAGTGATGACAGATTGTACATAATAATAGCAAACTTAAATTTTTAGGGAAGGAGTAATGATCTTATTCCAGAAAATTAGCAAGAGAGGTATCATCAAAGAGCTAAAATTTTCTTTGGCATGGTAAAGGGGAAAATTGAGTTATCAACTTATTTACACAGAGTTCTCTATATTTGGGGTGATACAATGCCATGTTGTTACATAAAGTTAATTGATGGTTTCCATATGCTTTCATATGAGTATTTTATTTAATATGTTGTATCTGTGAATACAACAAATGGCAAGAAACACAAATTGTACAATACAGACAAGCTCTCTGTATGTAAATCAAAAAATACATACCAGTACTTCTGGATACATGGGTCCTAGTACATGCAGTTCATTGGTGCTTTCCTCTTCCCATGCAACACGTAAGACCAGACCCAAGGAAATGGCCTAACTAATTCAAATATATAACAAGGACCCCAATTCGTGTATCTAAACATGTATTAGAAGAATCCACTTTGATACCTACTTACAATAATACATTCTCTCATAGACAACTGACAACTCTTGGAAAATAAAATAGAAAAACATTAACATAAATCTCAATCATTTACAAAAATAAATCTTGCCTTATTTTTAAGCACTAGCCAGGTCTTGAGAAAAGAAATCTCAAGTAGTGTTGATTATCAAAAACAGAAAGGTAGGTTGGTTTAGGGTGTGTGTACATGGGGATGGATATAAACTGTGTCTGTAAGACCAACTAATAGGAATTATAAGTTATTCATATTTTAATACATATTATGGTATATGTGTCTTGCTCAAATAATCAGTTAATGGGTTTTGTCTACTTACGTATAACACCAAATCAGTAATGGTTAAAGGAGTCAATTTTTTTGTGTATGTGTTTGCAATTTACCATTATTGACAATAAATCTACTCGATCTTTATGCTAATGGTTATTCACTAAAATGGAGCCTAATATGAAAATGAAATAAGCATAAGCAGTTAAATTTATACTGAATCTTTAATCAGATAAGCAAGCCAATTTTTTTTTTATGTTGGGCAAGGGCTGTCATGGAGATTAATGAAATCAATGAGAAAATAATTTCCCAGCAAGCACAGGGAAGACTGGGGAAAATGGAAGCTAGGTCACTCTGCCACATGGAAATAATGACAAGAGGCCAGTAAATCAATCCCACATAGATTATTTTCTATAAAAGAGGTTCAGTTTGGTCTCAGTGACCTTTTCTGAGAAGAAAACATGAAATTTTATTGTGTACACATAGTTAACAAATATATTTCCAAATATTTTAGTATTAAACATTTTGAAGCTATTTGTGTCTGATATTGAACATTTTATATGGAATCTTTAAACTGCATCTCCAGAAATTCACAGCCTTTTTTAGTACCCCCAAACTTGAGTTCAATAGAATTCAATTAAAAATAAAGTTACAAAAGAAAAAAAAAAACATCAAATAAAACAAATGGCCCAAACTCCAAATATTGGAATATGTTGGTTTGTCTTTAGTTTTATCTAGGCTACCCAACACAACACATTCCGATATCTTAGCAAGTCCCCTCACACCCTGCTTGGCCTGTTAGACCCTACAGAGATGAGTTAGAGAGAGGTGTGCCTGTGGACACACACATTACCAGACCCAGCATGCTGAGCTGAAAAAAAAAAAAAAAAAGAATTTTACCTAATATGTCCAGTTTAAAATCTTGTCATTAAACACCAAAAACATTAAAGTCTAGTTTGTACTAATGTGTGCATTGCTCTGCAGGGAAGAACACAACAGCCACCTTGCCCATGCTCTGCTGAGGGTAACTGGAATGCAGCCCAAATTGGGGTGGCACTGAGTTGTCTTTGTTAAAGACAGGAAGAAGTGGGTCAGAAATGGATTTAGGTAGCATATTTCCTTTATGTTGTAATGATTTGTTTTTTATTTTTTCCTTTTTTCCCAATAATGAGGATTAATAGATGAAAAAAAACAAAACAAAACAAAACAAAAAAAAAAAAAAAACAAAAACAAAAATGAACCTTAATCAGGCCTACAAGGCCTACAGAATTCTTTGGACCCACTTTCTCAAAAACCAAGTGGGTCTTGCTCGCTGGGCAAGGCAAATGTTACCATTACCAGTAAGCTTGTGATATGTATAAAACACACACACACACACACACACACACACACACACACACACACACACACACACACACTTAGAGGGGATGCCAAACACCTATCATAGAGAGCTTCCAATGGATTGTGTTTGACCCTTGGTCCACCCAGGCCATGCCCACCTCTTGAGCACAGCGTCTCCTACTGAACAGAGCCTGTATGTGTGTTTAACCGGTAATGTGAGCCAAAGACAACAACCTTAATCTTTATAGATACGATTTGTAGTAATAGGTTTAGAAGGCTTCCTGATTCCCTGATTGTTCTCCAAACTAAACCAACCTCAACACCGAAGATTCAGAGGAACACAATCCTGCTAAGTCACAGACAGTGGAGCGAGCAGCCCTGTAGAAATGGGAAGAAGAGAAATCCATGATAGCACAGGTTTACAGCGTCTAACTAGAAATTACTCAATAATATTTGTGTGCTACAAAATTGAACTTAAACATATGGATTCCGCTGGAACAGGACTTAAAAAGGATTATGGGTAGCTGTCAGCAGGCAATGTATTGAGTGTACTTGTGAAGTATGTCATTCACATGAAGTGTCACAGTCACAGAAAAGATATTAAAAAGGCATTCCATATCTGGTAGGGCATTCCATGGTCTGAGTTTAGCTGGTTTGTCCAGGTGTCTTCTTGGTGTGGGGGTAACCACAGGTTGAGATTTATCCACTTGCAACAAAGGAGGTCTGAGACAGCATAGAACAAGCATCAGCTTGCCTACTGAGGCTCTTCAGCCACAGGAGCAGGAATGTCTGGTAAGGATGAATTGCTCTACTGTGCTGTGCACAAGTGAGTCAGGACACCTGAGGATCTAGCTATGTGGTCTTGCACTTGTTGACTGGTTTGCCTCCGTTCATTATTGCAGATGCACTTGTACTTTTGCTTGGCGTCACCCCAGCTTTTGGAACCGTTTCGCCAACATCATGCAAAGATGGTTCTCGGTACATGGCAACTAGAGAGGTGAAGAAAGGTAGAGGAAAAGAACAGGTTATCTGGCTGCCGTGCAAGAATGGCATGCCACTTTTTGCACAGACCTGAGCCAGTCTGCGTCTATTTTTGGTGCATCAACCCAATCCCACTGACAAGAGGCCAGCAGTTAAAGGCAGTCATTTCCAATCCATAAATTAAGAAACAACTTTCAATGTGTTTTCTAATTTATATACTAAAGTATGTGCTTGCAAATGTACCTAATTTTTTTTCTAAGAAAGTTTAAGTGAGATCTATGACCTCTTTGTAAACCTAAAAAGAAAAGCACACATAACACTCAAGAATGTGTGTTGCATGAGTGCTTACACACAGACACATACCCCCGCCCCTTTTTTTCTCTCCAGGAAGAAAAGCATTTGACCTAATTCTATTTTCACCTGAGATCACTAAGCTATTTTTCTCTTCAGTGGTTTAAAAACCACACAGTCATTGGGTTCCACTTGAAAGCTACACACATTAGTAATACAGGCTTCCTTTTGCTTAAACCAGAGCCTTCTGTTAATAATTGCTTATATTTCCTTTCCCACTATCATAGAAGAGGCCTTTAAACAACTGGAGGAAACTGTGTGGCATTTATATTTTTGTATCTATTTTTCTGATGCATTGTTTAAAAAAATTAAATAATTGGTGTTGGTAGGACAGAGGCATAAAACAGTAACAGCAGCTGAAACTAATGTCTGAATGAAAATTGAGGAATTGTCTTGAGTTGGTCCTTGTGACATGAGCGCCAAAGTTTATGTCACTTTTTAGAAAATGCTTTTACAGAGTCTTGGGAAAGACTACTAAGGTTATCTGATATGTGGGGAAATTAGTTGACTTAAACTCATCTGCCACCCGAATATAATTACAGTCAATCTTCCCAGCAGGCTGCTTGGGTTTTGAAAGTTTAGGTGTTCTAGAAAAAACAACCCTGGTGGAGTAGGGCTTGGTGCTATGAGTACTGTGGAAGTATCTTAACATTTGCATCAAGTTATGCATGGCTTTTCTTAGCACACTTACAAAGGTAAATGTACACTGAGCTTAATGACTTGGAAATCGTGTAAAAGAAGCCAGTCTCTAACCCGGGAGCTGTCTATAAATGATAACCCTTCAGAAATGAAAATTAATTTTCTCCAACTGAGTCTGACTGGGTATACAAACGACTCTTAAAGCCTAACCCCACACTCGGCAGTAGATGGTCAACATCATCATGCTTTGTCAGGACTTTAGGCTTTTCATTGTTTCCCTACAGGTCCATCATATATATGTTATGGTTTCTCATTTTGTGTTTTTATGGGATTTCTGTTGTGTTAATGTGTGTCTCTGCATCTATATGTGTTTTTTGTTGTTGTTTTGGGTTTTTTTTTTTTTGTTTTGTTTTGTTTTTTTGCTTTGCCTTTGGCTTCTTTTATGCTTGTTTTCTACTTTTGTATTTTGTTTGCTTTTATTTAACCTAATTTTATTTTTTTTTAGATGCCAGTTTCTATTCTAATGACACAGAGAAAGAAAGGGTGTGGTCTTGGGAAGTGGAGAGGATCTGGGAGGATCCTTGGAGGAAGGAACATTAAATCAGAATATATTGTATTAAGAAAACCTGGTTTTAATTTAAAAAAAAAATCAGAAAACTGTTTTTAATCTTGAAACATCTCTGATGTATCACTTGTACGTACACCAATTAAGTTAGGACTCAACAGTATCAAACTTTTGTCTTATACCATCTATGAAGTCAAGTTGGGTGGGCGATCTGAATGCCCTAGAATACCCATAAACAACAACATCCTGTGGAAATATCTATAATTGTCCTAAAATTTTCAATTATATAATCTATACCCTATTTGGGGTTGTAAAGGAGATTGCTATCCCTCTTATAATCTCCTCTGCTAAATGTTGTGTTTCAGAAGTAATGTTTTAAAGACGTAGTAGAGCATAGCCCCTTGTTTTGTTTAGAGGACCTCTGCCCAGGAATTATTTTAAAGCATGAGAGAATACTATTTTCTTTCTTCATATGTATACACCACACTCGTATAACAGTTCAACTTAAGGCTAAAATATCAAGTAATAGGATTATTTGTTATAATACTGTTTATACCACAGCAGGTGAGTCTCTGATATTTTCTGTGGCCCTCATGCTTTTATTATATGTCACAGACATGACCTATCTATAGCAGAAGAGCTGTGTCATCTCAGTGGTTGGAGGTAACACTGAGGAACTTCAAAGCACCAAGGCTGAAGCATCCTAAAACCAAACTGAGAAATCCTGTAGATCTTTGTCTGGGTTACAACCTACAGGAAGTCATTATCAGCATCAGGTTAGCCTCTAGAGGGTCATGGAGGCCTCTTCTTTTTATCCCAAGAAGCTGGGCCACTGTGTAAGTTTGCTTGCTTTGTTATTTTCCTCATCTTGATTCTTAATAAAATTTTAGAAAAGCCTCAGTGTCATTTTTTTAGTTCTAAAATTTAACATAAATAATGGCAAATGGTCCTTCTGTCAGAATAATTAATGAGCTATATATATATATATATATATATATATATATATATATATATATTTCTAATTAATTAATAGAGCATGGTAGCTTGAGCCTTCAGATCTGATGAGAATAAAACTGAAGGAGCTGCTATTTACAGTTGAAGGTAAGTAAGTTCCTTTAATACGGGGGAAATAATTTATGTAGTAAGGAAGGAGATATGGATCTTTACAGGTCATTTTAAGAATTATAATAATTCAAAAGAAATTTTACTCAGATAATCTAAAAATAGGCAAATACTTGAAATTTCATGTGAAAACGTTTTCCTTATATACTTACCATTGTATGTTTGTAAGAACATAATTTATTTTTCAAAAGATTGACTAAATTCATGAACTGCTTAAAGCATTTGAGATAGTGAGGGTTTGCAACACTGAAAGAAGTTTTCTGCTGTATGGGGAAAGGAGAGGGTCATTTTTCTTTTTTCTTTTCTTTTTTGCCCCAGGTTTGGTATCCAGAACTGAAAATCCTGGCTCTAGCACATAGTAAGTTAGTGTTCTACCCCAGACCTATACTTGGTGCCTACAAAGCTTAGCCAAAAACAGAAGGAGAAATGTGTGCAAATACCATTCCAATAAAAGTTATTTCCATCAACCAGTGGGAGATTCCGGTGGCCATGTCAGATGTATCCATGTAAAAATTAACAGTTTCCAAGAGGGTAATGTGTGTGTGACATACTTACCTTCCAATGGCTTGGGTAGAAAATGAGCTGCTGGTTTGGTTTTCTTTACTCTGTTTCCTTTCATAGCTTGCCCCTCCTTATTTAATCCCAAAAACCAGGCTCTGCCAGACTCCTGTTGCCTGTACAGCATGGATGAGTAGATTACATAATAGTTTTCAAAAACAGACTCTTTAAACTTGCATTCAGGAGTAAAAAGTTCCTATTAGGAAAAAGAAGAGAAGAAAATTAAAGTAGAAAGCAGAAGCTTCCTGATGTTCACTCATTCTGCATGAATTTTTCTGACAAGGTGACGTTGTCCTCCTGCATGCGGGAGCTCTTTATACATAATCTTCATACCAAAGGAACTTGGAGAGTCTGCAACTTGTGGGCATATGTATGAAATGATAGATATCTTTTAATAAGGAAATGGAAAGTGTAAGACAGGTATGGATAGCTCCCGCCTATAATTTAAACATTTAGAAGGGTGAGGGAGGTATGTTTCTATGAGTTTGAGGACAGCTTGAACACGGCAAATTCCAGGGAAGCTCCACCTACATAGCAAGATCTTATATCAAATCACAAAATCAAAAAGAAAAATTAACCATATAGTATCTTCAGTTAAGCAGAGCTTAATTCAATCAGTGTGTAACCACTTAACCACATTAGTGTACCATCATCTATTCCTGATAAAGTTTACAGAAATATTTAAAACATTACATCAAACACTCTTTCCACAGTAATAACTTTGCAATATTATTAACAGCAAGTTGACAGTTGCCACTTGGATCACCAGTGTTATGGGGTGACAAATTTATGTTATGACAATCAGATGGCATACATGTTAGTTATGGTTATAGTTACATATAAGTTACATATAGGACTTTAGACTCACAAAGATAGAATAGATTATGAAATATTTTCTTAAATCTTACTAAATGTTAATGGACTAAATATTGTTAACTGTGATTCTTATTTGATAACTGTTGTATGATATATTTTGCTATGCTAAGGTTAAAACTCTTCTTTTTATTTTAGACAGAAAAGAGAAGATGATGGGAGATGTCATTCTGTAAATATGTTTCTCATACTGGTTAATTAATAAAGCACTGTTGGCCAATAGGAAAGCAAGATAGGTGGAACTAGGAGACAAGGAGAATTTGAGGAAGTAGTAGGGAGGGAGGAGTCAGCATGGAGAGACGCAAGAGAGCAGAACCACCAGATTCCTCTCTCCGGTAAAATGAAACCACGTGTTTCCACTTAGCTTAATAGAAATGGGTTAATACTTAAGACAGAGGTAGCCGATAAGAAACAAGTAACTGGCCAATAGTGTTATATCAAATACAGAGTTTCGGTGTGTTATTTGGGGCTGGTGCTGCAGTGGGTCCAGGCAAAGCAGGAAAAACCTTACTCCTTGCACATGTTAGTCACCAGAAGTACTGATGTGTGACAAGCTGAGGCTAGACATTATGTTAGCTGATGGAAGCCGTAAATAATTACCCAACTTTAAAGTTTGAAGCCCTATTGAAATTGTTAAAGATAAATAGTAAAACCCAGCCATTACTAAAAACCACCTAATAGTTTTGAAAAGAGTACAGTGTGTTAAACAGATTCAGGCTCAACGCCATTATCCTCATTTATTAGTGATCAGCACAAAGTTTTAGTACTATTATAAATATCACAAATATTCACAGATTATTTTATAACTTTATGGCACTCTCATTTTGAAATAAATAATAATGAATATAATTGCATGGTTATTTATAAAAATATATAATAATGCAGCTTATAAGCATCTTTTGACAGCATCCAGTTAAATAGAACTTTAAGCTCTAGCCTCCTGCTGACATACTATGGAAGACACTTAACTAGTTTTTGTAGGTGTTATAAATAGGTTATTTGTTATTTTGTACATACAGGAAATAAATATACAAAAACATATCATACTGCCACTTATATTTTTGTAACATCACTGTACAAAACAAAACAAAACAAAAAAAAAAAACAAAAAAAGCACTTGATTTTCGTTTCACCCGAATAGATTTTGCTGCTAGAGAAACTTTAATCTTTTAGAAATAAACATTCTATGTATATGTATACATTCTTAAAGAAGTAAATGGAAATCTCTAACACTTGAATTGTTGTTAATTATCATAAGAAATGTGCCATATGAAAAATGGCTTTCTATATTTTCTAAAACAGTATGAATATTCTCACACTGATGGTAAGGAAAGGGGAGAACTGGGGGATGACCAACTCTATAGCTGCCCAAGCCCAGGACCAGGGTTATGCTTTGGCCTGGCTCAACATCTACCCCATCCATGATCTGATGAAGCACCTGAAGGAGTCTGACCAGAAGACCTAAAACTATAGGATCTCCTCAGTACAGGGCAACAACAGGATATTCAAGAAGAGTCCCAGTGAGGGTCCAGAGTTGATGGTGTAATGAAACCAGACCAATGGCTATGCAATGAATACTTGCAAGTGAAGATATATGGACAAAGAGGTTTACTGCATCACTCACTGTGCCACATTGCAGTTTCCATGGTGAGACTTTTAATGCTTTCCTTTTACATTTTGCTTTATGGGGGTGGGTGTTTGGAGATAAAGGGTAGATGCAAAGGGACTGAGAGAATGAATGGGTTCAAGATGCAAAAAAGAGTGTGCATTTTCAAGCAATATCTTCTACTGTTTAAGTTTATTTAGTTTTTTCCATAAATTTATTTCAACATAAGTCAATTTTCCAAGGAGAAACAGATTTCATTAATTCAGATTTTTTTTATGACAAAGATGACCAATGCTGTGGTCTATAAAAGACATTAGCAAAACAAAATGCAGGGTAAACCTCTCCGGTTAGTATTCAGGCTTCTGTACTGGCCTGTCCTTGGGATTCTGACGGGAAACACCCTCAGCTGCAGCCACTAAGTAAGTGTACCACCTGTGCACATTAACTACATTACCTTTTAAAAGGGTCTTGCCCACCTTCCATCTCTTTCTCTCTCTGTCTCTGCTTGTCTCTCTCTATCTCTCTTCCTCCCTCTCTCTGTCCTTCCTCTCTGTCCTTTCTCCTCCTGCTGCTCCTGTCTCCAGAAGATTGTTGCCCCCTATGTCTTTCCCCATTTTATGATTCCTTTCACTAATAAAAAATCCCTGTGCTTGAACCCTGTCTCATCAACTTTCTCTCCTGCCCTGCTTTTTTGCTTTTCTTAAATTATAACACCTCCATAGGGATTTCTTAAGACCTCTAACCTCAGATTTTAATAAGATCTTGCCCAAATAAATGTCCTGGCCTTCTACTAAATTTCTGTTCTCTAAATACCCTCCTTTTTATTCTCTCATTAATAAGTTGACCCTAACTAAGTAAGGATCTAAGAGGTGTCACAGAGGAAACTATATAAAGTGGAGGAAAGCAAGATGAAATGTTCCAAACCAGACTTATCCTCTGTGATGGTTAACTTTCACTGACAACATTATGCAACTGCATGTAATTTTGGAAGACAGGCCTTGATAAGGAATATCCTATGGGCATGTCTGTGAGGGATTGTGTTAATTAAGTTAATTGATGTGTGTAGGTTTAGCCCACTGTGGGCAGCAACATTCCTGAATGTTGTCCTGGACTGTATTTGGGTGGAGAACTTAGAGAAACGATGAACACAAGCAAGTAGACTTGCATTCATTCATTTCTCTCTGGTCTTGACTCTGTGTGTGCTATGACTAGTTATTTGAAGTTCTTGTTTTGACTTCTCAACTATAACCCAGAATTGTAAGATGAAATGAACCCCTTGTTTCTCTAAGTTGCTTTTAGTCAGGGCATTTTATCGCAGCAACACAATAAAACTTGAAGGGCTCCCAGAAGAACAATAAATCTGCCATATTGGTTGAAACTAAATATTCTAGGACAATAACTTGTGTTATTGAGACTTTCAATGTGTAAGAGGTAAGTTATTCAGTGGATACATTAAGACTTCATACACTGCATTTCAGGAGTGTTAGCAACTTTTGTGTTTGTGTATGTGTGTGTTGGTCTATGTACATTTATATAGAAGCCATTACTGACCATCAAGTTTCTTCCCTTATGACTCTTGGTCTTAATTTTAAAGACAGAGTCTTCCCTGAACCTCTAGCTCACTGTCTTGGCTAGACTGACTGGCAGGGAGATGGCAAGATTCTCCCTTCTGTCCCCATCTAAAAATAGAGTTACAAGCTCACATTGCCATGACAGTTTCTTTATTGTTTGTTTGTTTGTTTTTATTACACTGGGTCCAGGGATCTGAATTCAGATCCTCATGCTTGTATAGTAATTACTTTGCCCAGTAAGCCTTTTCTGTAGCCCCTGTTTGCATTATTTTTTTGAGCTTTGCCTGTGACTTCAGAGGTATCTTCTGCCTTTAATCTCAGCACTTTGGAGGCAAAAACAAAACAAACAAACAAAATAACAGGAAAAATATATAATGTTGGTAAAGACTGGCTGATACATTTCTGACCAGCTTATCCCTTATATTAAATAATAAAAGTGAATATACACACAACATTTCAAGATATTCTTATCTAATACACTTTTCTTAATACTTATAAAGAGAGATGGAGAGGTGGCTCAGGGTTTAAGAACACTAGCTGCTCTTCCAGAGATCTTGAGATCAAGTCCCAGCAGCCACATAATGGCTTACAACCCTCTCTAGAGGGATCTTATGCCCTCTTCTAGCATAAAGGCATACATGCAACTAGAACTCTCATATATAAAATAAATTAAAATAAAAAGACTTGTAAAGAACTTAATCTATTCCTCAAGTGTTACAGTTCAAAGCAATGTCAGAATTCTCTGGAGAACTGGGAGAAGTACACATAAATGGGACTATTTATTATGTAACAGTGACATTTATTAGAAATATACTTATGACATGTAAATGGAAGCCAATAGAACATATTAGTAATCATGGCTTAATATTTAGACAGAGCTAGCCAGTAAGAAATGTTAGTAACTGGCCAACAGTTTCATAATTAATACAATGTCTGTGCGTGTTATTTGGTGCTGACGCTTCTGAGACCAGGCTGGTGGGAAAGTGAGTATAATAGTACAGAAACATTTTAATAAGTACTCACTAATTTTATGAAATAAATTATTCCTTGTATACAGCAAAACTTTGATGTATCAATTATTTCAATTCTATCAAATTCCACGTATCAAAATTCAGTTACAGGATTGGTCAGAAAACATGGCTTTAT